AAAACACTATATATATATATATATATATATATATATATATATATATATATATATATATATATATATATATATATATATATATATATATATATATATATATAGCTTTTGATGTATAGTGGTTTGCTTAATGAAGATACTTTATCTTTTAAAGATATGTGTTGTTGTTTTGTAAATCTTCTTGTTCGCATTCACCAGCTGTAAACTCTGGCGGAAAATTCTCGTTATACGTCCACTTCCGGACTTTTGTCTTTTTTTTTTTTTTTAATATAGACTTGCGTTTTGAGTGCACGTCCGTTTTACAGATCTGGCTTATTATTTGCAGACTCACTGGTGCTCTTTATTGTTCAAGTTTTTTGTTAAGTATAGTTGGCAGTTGAATTCAGAAGAAGAGAAAAAGCTTGGTGGAAACGTTTGCTTGCATGTATTAAAAAAAACAACAACCTCTGTACACATACTGGGATATTCAACTTTTTTAAATCCTGTGCCACCATTGACATCACTCCTTTCTACTTGATCCATTCATGATGTTTATTTTAAAAAGACTGTTGCAGACTGTTTTTTCCTCACCTTTCAAGCAGATGCAGTCTCGAATTTGGAATAACGATATGGTCTGTAGGAGAACCTGTCGCGTTCGTGCTTGGTAAACACAAAGACAATGTATCTATCATATAAAGTTAGTTGCGTATCCTTTACAGGACATTGCAGAACCAACCCCAGCATCTTTTTAGCTGTTGTGGGTTTCCTAGGCAAGTTTACTTTCATTAGTTTACCATTGATTTCTGGACAGTCGGTTTCTCGAGACCACTTTCGAAACCAGCGCAAGGCCCGCAGCTGGGATTGAAGCTGGCAGCCCGGCATTAGAAAGCGCGTTCGTTACGACTAAGCCACAAGACGCTGACATCTATCGCATACGATGTCATATTGTGTCTGGTCAATCTTCTACTCTTCATTCAATCACCATCTCCAGGTGTGGTTTTTTTTTTTTTGGGGGGGGGGGGGGGGGATAGGTGGTGGTGGTGGGAGAATAACGGATCTTCTGTGTGCTGAATACAATGCGCTGTATATCTCAAGATAATGTTGATTTCTTCATGGCTGTTCGCGATGTCATAGTTCCATATTTTGTATTGTCTCCCCTTCGTTGCTCTGTATTTCTTCAGCGTGGCATTCTGTGCCATCTGTTCCAGGGTATTCTCGTAAGATGGCAAGCATATCTCATCTGTGGCTGTTTTTGTCTTCTGCATTTTCTTGTTACTGCAGCACCTCTTCTAAGACAGCTTATCTCTGTTATTATACTTTTGATGCAGCAATGTTTGATAAATGCACACTAGTATGGACTGGTGTTTTTGGTGCTTTGAATGCGTAAAATGAATGTCGCTCAGTGAAAAATGACAGTAGCGACATTTTGTGTGACTTCCCCCACAAGACGAACACTTATGATATGTCTTGTCTGCAGTGATATTGGGACGTCAGCTAAAGACTTTTACAAATCCAATATATAACGAGGTGCTAATTATATCGTCATCAAATGCCTTGCCGAGTGGCGTTTGCAATCATGCCTCTCCTAAATCTGCGATCTTTAAAGCGTGTATCTCAGTCTGCTGACATCCCTTCATGACAGAATACTGTCAAGAATCGTGTCTTGCTGTCTCTTTTTTCCACATATCTGTCCAGTAGTCACAACATGTTCAACTTTCTTTCTTCTCATAATATGACCACCAACACACACAAAAGTGATGACTATCTTTGTTATAAGCTGTCTTCGAAACCTTCAACTCTTTAAAAAATTATGAGTTCATCATTTTGGCTATCTAAGGAATTGTAAGGATTCTTCTCTAAAACCCCACATTGAAGGCCTCACGGAATTGTTTGGTTTGTTTATTAATTGTCAGGATTTACAGCCGTATGTTAAAACTGGCTCTATATAGCATAGCAGAATACTTTTTCTAACCTGCAATGATTTGTCCGAGTATTTGTTGCATAAAATGTTCTTCATTATATAAAAAGCAGTTTTAGCCCGTCTACCCAAAGGTAACATTACTATGTAAGGTAACATTACTATTAAGTTAACATTAATATGTATGGTAACATTACTTTGTAAGGTAACATTACTTTGTAAGCTAACATTACTATGTAAGGTAACATTACTATGTAATGTAACATTACTATGTAAGGTAACATTACTTTGTTAGGCAACATTACTATGTAAGGTAACATTACTTTGTAAGGCAACATTACTTTGTAAGGTAACATTACTTTGTAAGGTAACATTACTATGTAAGGTAACATTACTTTGTAAGGTAACATTACTTTGTAAGGTAACATTAATTTGTAAGCTAACGTTAATATGTAAGGTAACGTTAATATAAGCACAAATATCCTTACCTGCAGTTGTCCTTTGACGGCCTCCTGAAAATGCATAGTAGATTCCTATGGCAATAGAAATCAGTATCGTTGCTCCAAACACAACGAAATCACCGATATGGAAATAATGTTTCCCCATTGTTTTAATTTGATACAGCTGTGATCAGTGGGAGATTCAGGCGAGGCGATTTGACAATCAGAATGTGTTATGACGATTCACAATGTCTTATCTATTTCATGGACACATTAATGCTTCCCTAAAAATAGTGAAAAAAGTTTAACTAAATATGTAAAAGATTAATATAAAATTATGAATTGAATTTAACAATTAAAAGGTGAATGCTAGGGGTAACGAGAAAATATTGACTTAGGAGCGGTGATATCAGGAGGAGAGTCGACACAGAACCGATACGGAACTTTACATTAAGAACACACATCAAATAGTCTGGCCATGTTACAAGGATGGCCTCAGACAGGGCACCACAGAGAGCAATGTTATACAGATACAACGGTATCAGACCTAGAGGTCGACCACGCAGAATGTGATCCGCAGAAATATCAGACACTAAAAAGTACTTTATACGAAGCGAACAAAAGGGCCCGTTCCAGATATCTCTTCCTGTCCAAGAGAAAAGCTACAAGGATGTTAAACGTAGTAACTAAATTTAAAAAAGAATAAAAGCTGCTACTTGAGATAATTGAAATGAATGTGTAAATGAAGAAACCTAACAAAGAAATATGGTTTGAAGCAAAGATTCTTTGTATGTCTGTCTATCTATCTATCTATCTATCTATCTATCTATCTATCTATCTATCTATCTATCTATCTATCTATCTATCTATCTATCTATCTATCTATCTGTCTGTCTCTGAATCTCTCTGTGTCTCTTTCTGTCTACCTCAGTCACTCTGCACTCTGAACATAGAGCTAGAGTCTATTGACATAACCGGTCACCTGCCGTCGTAATAATGAGACGTTGAGCGGCTGGCCAAGTAATTACAACACAGAGATCTCATGACTGAGGCCAGGGTTCAAACTCACGGCAAGGTGATCAAACGTTCCCCCCCCCCCCCCCCATATCATTTTTTGTGTGGGGAGCAGCCGTATGTAGCGGCTAGACGCTTGCCTGTGGATCAGAAGATCATCGGCGACTTTCTTTAATAATGACCTTAAATGGGTACCAGGTAAAGTCCTTAGAAGTAACGGCTCCCGGTGTGATACTGATTATATCAGCCACCAAATGTCGATCGGTCTATAAAATATGTCTAGCCCTATCTGCACAATACGCCTCAGGGAGCGGAAAAAGTCATTAAGTCTACTTCTGCACTGGCCAAACGCTTCTAAATCCTCGAGCTGGAGATTTTCACCTCCTTCCATACACCGCCTTAAAAATGTATAAATGCAAGTATGAAAAATTTCGTTTGCACCTAAATCACTTCTTACTTTCAATTAACTGGTTTACTGGTGACTGATTTAAGAATCGACATCATGACACACCGGGCATACCCATAAATGCTCCGTCTCACGCAGCAAACGTCTTAACATGTAGATGCAAATTGGTGAGTGAGTGAGATTCAAACCCACCAGGACATACACTAAGTGCCACCAAACGGATAAGGATCACCCTGGGAGAGATTCTCAGAAATTATGTTGAACCTATGGGTTGAGTTATTTTAGGGCCCCTGGCAACAGCCAGGTGGGGCCTTAAAACAACAGAAAATTGCGTCCAACATTGGGACGCATTAAGATTCTGAACTGGTCGTGAAACACACTGATTATAAACACGGCTTTCCCATCATGTCATGCGTCCCTCTTTGGTGGATCCACCCCTTATCCACGTTCACACATCCTTAAACATATTATTTTCTCTACCCGCGACGTGTCTTCTGTCATCATTTATAGATAAATGGTTTTTACAATGTCTTCTTAGTCCACTACGAGTATTCCAGTTCACATGGCTTTTGCAGCCAAAGATAAATTATTGGCGGTAGTAATTAACAAAGTGAAAGTTACAATAGAATCGGTTTATGAAACAATTAGTTGAAACCATCGGAGTTGTGTCAAGTATATCATTTAGTGAGTCACAGATTAAGAAAGATGAGCTGTTTTGTTCTGAATTAGTTAAAATCATTATGTAGCAGTTCCGTGGCGGAACGTCGCTCTCGTCACGGTCAGCCTGAAAGAAACTCGGTCTCACACCAGCTCTCCGGCCTCATGTACTTTCATACTCAAGGAGTCACCTATATCCTGTGCCCATCTTCGTTTTAGCTGGCCCCTGCCCCTCCTTCCTGGTACCATGCCTTCTGCTTTTATTTTTTTTTCCAATCCACTAGGGCGCTTCATACGACCAAAATTTTTTAGCTTTGAAACAAAATAGTGTTTATTAGCCAAATTTCCTTGAACTGGAGGTTTTTTTTTTTAATGTCAGTGTTTCTTCCCTTCTTTGTCAGTTGTATTCTAAGAATCTTCCTGTGGCATTTCAGCTCCAAAACTCCTATTTTCTTTCTTGATGAGTTGAAATAAGCGGATCAAATACAGGGTTCTTGCATTCTTTAATTTATGTTTTATTTTTTTTTAAAGGCCTGTCTAACATTCTGCCCCTTATGAAAGGAAAAAACACCAACAGTCTGCATACAAATAAACTGGATCTGTAAAAGGTACGTGCACGCAAAACTCAAGTTCTGGAACAAGAACAACGTCCAGAAGTGGATGAACAACAAAAACTTTCTGTCGAAGTCTAAAGTCGATGACCGATCAGAAGAAAAAGATCATCTTTATCATACCATAGACTATCTAATTCTCAATTCAAGCATTTGAAAACTAAATTCCACTTCTTGTTACCACAGCCGTCAGTGACTTGTGACGAGTAATTTGCAGGAGGCGACAGGTAGTCCGCTAGCAGAGTTTACATCTTCTACTTGTAGAACTCAGTAACACCGTCAACCTGTACCGCTCTACGGCAGAATGGCCAACCAGAGCACTTACACATATAAGTAAATCAATTTGTTTATCAGAAGTGATGAAGGCATAGCGACCTGATAAAGTTGGTCATTCGCGGAAGGGTCGATTTACCATGACAAAAATTCATACGTGTGCCATATCTTACTTCTACCATTTTAACAGGCTTCAGTGTTGGATTCAGTACCTGTTAACTCGCTTTGTACCAGGCAGGTTCTACTCAAACTTGTTCTGCACTACGATCTGTGTGCTTGAAAGTCTTCGGTGTTTATGTCATGGGAGATAAAGATAAAGGCAAAGTAGTGAGATGTGAACCAGCGTCATTGCACACGGTTATAAACCATAAGTGCTCTGCCACCAGTACTTGACAGCTGATAAGAAACTGTCTGCCTGTGTCGCTCCACGCACGTAACTCCTCCATTTACCCCAAAGTATCAACTCTGGTACCCAGTTCCTAGACGATGGGTGAGCCCCGGGAACCGCCTGGTTTCGAACACCGACCGTGGGCTGCAGCGAGTCGCAGCTGGATTTGAAAGCGAGTCTCCTATCAACTGCGTTAACGCGGCCCCGAGGTCATAGGAGATGCCAAGGGCCATAAACAAGTTAAACTAAACTGTTGATAATTTGAGCTAACTTGACGGACCCACGTAGTCAAGAAAAAATGCGGTGCGTGAAAATAAGGGCGGTAAATGTAATACAAGGACTGTCAGCAGCTCTTATACAAGGGAGCTCCAGAAGTAGAGTAGTAACCCCAGTTACCTTCTACCATACCATATAGGCGCTGAAACCTGACCATTCAGACGTTATTACCTTCCCTTTCCCCATAATTTTGCAAGAGAAGCCATTTTTTAACCACGTATAGAAATTTGAGCGAAAAGTATACTTATATACATTTCACATTATTTCAGATATTATATATTTATTTTCCAGTCAGCACATAACTTTGATGATGATGATGATCATGATGGTAGTGATGGTGATAATGATGATGATGCTGAAGATGATGATGATAATGATGATGATGATGGTTGTGGTGGTGATGGTGATGAAGATGAGGATGTACTGAATGGCAAATAAAAATAATAATATACTTAAAAAAAATATTTTGTATAGTTAGTATGTCGAAGTGTAACAAACTTGCGGTTTGCAGATAACATCGATGGGTTGGCCAGAAAAGAACGAGAGCTAGTCGAACTTGTAAATTTGTTCGATGAAACTATGGAATTCTGAGACATGAAAGATAGCAGCATCTTTAGCCTATCTGTAATAGTCAGCAGTGCAAGTATATATCGTACAGATACATACTACTGAGGGATCACTTGCACATCCCAGAATTACCCTCATGGCTTTATTCTATATGCGCTCATATTTCATCAACTGAGTCATGAATATGGTAAGCATTTCGAGTTTATAGACTTGTAATTAGAGGATTATGTGCTGAAACATTGTTAAAAGCCTTCTTTGTTCTACATCCATTGCTAACACAATCTTGAGTTCATTGAGTCCCTTCTGAAATTTTGCCAAAAATGCCTCTACATGATTCTTGAAGGACAATCTACTTTCGAAAGTGATATTCAGATACCTCATTTTTCTTTCTCTGTTAATGTTTCTATAATTAATTGTTAGACTTGTGAGCACAGTGAAACAGCTACAATTTCTTGGTTGATGACAGCACTCATCCGTGCACACCAGTCAGTCACTTTGTCTATAGTGACAAGATAATGTTACGTTTTCATTTTTGTTATGTGTGTGACTTTTGTCACAAAAAACGTTGTGACAGTTGCCTGTAGCTCTTGGGCTGTCTGTTGCCTATCACTTCCCTGCCTATTTGCAAGAACATTGTCTGCAAATGTCAGTATCTTTCCAGCCCCTGGTGCTTCAAGTTCTGCAATCCTGCTTGTATACACATTGAAGGCACTTGTGAAACTTCAGATCCATGTAGTGGTCCTTGTGTGATATAGCATGGTTCTGAAGTCCATGTACCCAGGCAAAGGGTAACTATACGTGAACGCACGACAGCTGTTACCTAGTTCACCAGCCAGTGACATGCGACCTTCTCGGTAAGAGCAGATATCAAAGTAGTATATCTGTTACCAAAGTAGGCACTCCGAAGATATATTGCATCCACCGCCGTTTCCTGTCTGTTCTGGAGCTCTTCGACTATAAACATCAAAACACAC